ACTGGTCGCTGAGCAAACAAACTGTATGTGCTTAGTCTTCTAACTGCGATAAAAAAACGATACTGGCCTTCAGTAGTACAATTGCACGTGTTTCACGATTTTATGTGCTATCTGCTATTGTTTTCTCTTTAGCTGTAGTAGAAGATACCGGTAATGTACCGGTAATGTACTGGCCTTGCAGCATCGTATTTGCTGATATATGATCTGTACTAACTTTCGACAGTTAGCTGTTCTTGGTGTTCGAAATGTCGTCCGAACTCGTGACAGAATGTTCGTGAAGCGATACCACACTCCTCGCCACTGTATTCGCACTTCTTCTACCTTTCCAATGATTCGACCTTGGATAAAGTCGTTCAAATTTTGTCTATCTGTTGAACATATCATGCTGCGTCAGAATTGGACATCGCTCAAAGCGATACGCTGTGTGCAGCTGATGCAGCTTGGACTGAAATGCTCAGCGGAAAGCACGTTTTTACGAATGAAATCAATCAACGGTGGAAGGGGCACGATGAACTGTTTGAATGGATGCAGTTTATTAATAATAGATGCGATATTGAAAAATTTTATTATTAGTTATTAAAATACAGTAATAAATTGTAATAAGTAATTATTAGAATTTATGTCGTCGGCAAATATTTTTAAACCGATTCGACTTGGTGCGAGAAAGCAACTTATCTCCACCCTACCCAAAACGGGTTCATCTATCCAAGTCGAAAGTCCTTTTTTAAAAACACAAAGTCGCCAAGTGTGGCTAATGCAGTTAAAAGCAGCAATACCAGCCTCTTACTCTTCCTCAATCCAGAATACGTCATGCTCTATATATATATGTCCCCTGCTGTGACATATTGGATACTAAGCGAGCTCCTGCTTAAAATTTGATGCAATTCTACTTCTTCTTTCGACTAGTACTTTATTTTCTCCACCTCGTTCTTAATTTTTTGCATACCAGTGTATTCATATGCTTCAGCTATAAAACATTCTCGAGCTCTCCTACGTAAACTTGTCGTATGCTACAAATAAAATTCCTAAACACCGTACAAACTGCAACCTTGTTCATTTTCCTATTTGCTTAGTTTTATTCAAAGTCCAAATACTTGGTTTTATAATTAGGATTCATTTTTACTGACCAGTTATTTTATGTTAATTTACTTTACTGTGTTTTTCATTTCCCATTTTCCTGGCAGAATGTAAATTTCTACTTCGCGTGTATTCAAGTGATGTAGAAAGAAGACAGTATTTTAAGAAAGTCTTTAGAGGGTAGAATCAGAGAGTGTTCTGCCTGCCGAAGGCCACGTTTGGTAATTGATTCTCTTCAGAACAGTATTCTTCGGCGTTACGTTATTCGTTTCACTGGATTTGTCACGCCGACTTTAGGTCAAAGCCAACTCGCGCCTTCTCCGGCTGTGTAGCCATTGGACTAACTTACTTTGAATTAGTTAAGTCAAATTAACTGCAGTTTTTTAAGCTGTAGATGATGGCTGTTCTATAGTCACGAGCAGTACCATCTGTTAAATTTATTTAAGTTAAATAAAAGGGTCTGTTACGCATTTCTCAGCCTTTGAGGAACTTTACAAGACATAGTGACAATGAAATTAGGTCCTTGAGTTCTCACCTATGCTACCAAATGACACGAGACTCTATTATTAAGCTGCAATATTGATGTAATATTCCCGATGTTGTCTAGAGTTTCAATCAAACCACTATTGCTTTCAAAACTTCCGAGAGAAATTGCCACTAAAATTAATTTTAAAGTATGCGAACTCCATTCCTTATACGCAGAAGATTCTTAAGAAGGGCGGGAAGTTCGCAAAATAAAACGGGTTTTATCGTTTTATGGGAGCTCGCAGCGAAGATTTATTGATAGAAATCTGTCGCTTCCGAAGAAATTCCTTAGAAAGACGATATTTCAATATTCGTGTATGTATATCTTTTATTTCATTTTTTTAGTCAATTTTTTTCTTCGATATCGAAATTGAAAATGACGAGCGAGTGTAGGATATTATTGTCTTCCCACTATTAGCCTCGAAATAGTTTGGATGAAGAATTTTTAAATTTGATCGATTTTTCAGTATGTAGTGTCTTTTTAGAACGATAAAATTATTTCTATCTGAATAACTAATGGCAGCAAAGCTGACTTTACTTTAATGTTAACTAAACCCATTACAAAAAGCTTATTTATTGTATCTCCATGTTTTTGATATAGACGATGCAAATGATAAGGGGAAAAAGAAGTAAGTGTATAGTAACTGGCTGATTAAAAGTAAGCATGTATCTGAATAAGTTGTCTTACTATTAAAAATTTCACTATATTTAAAACTGGACTGTATATACGAATAATAATAAATAGTCTTCATTCGGTTATTATCAGTTAAAGAAGCATTTTAATGCATTTTCTAAACATTTTCTGTAGTACTGTTATAAATGTTTGTCACTTTATATTTATTCATTTATATTTTTTACATAATTTTTAATAATTATTTTGATTTATTATTTATGTGTTTAGTGCATTTTTATGACAATTTTATGTTAGTTTTATTTAATTTTGAATACATGGTAAATTAATATTGTTTGTTTTATGTATTATTTATGTATTTTGAATTTTTAATTCTGAATCAGCTGGACATTTGAAGCGTAACGATAGCTGAAAAAAAATCATACCAATTTAGGCAGAAACCATTTTATGGTAACATTTGGTGAAATTAGAAAACTTCCGGAAAATGCATTTTCGAAGCCCTAGGAATATTTAGAAAACTTCCAGAAAATGCATTTTCGAAGCCCTAGGAATGATGTTGAAACTTCTAGAAGTGCTTTTATTCTTTCCCTTTAGCAATCCTATAAATATTAGTTGTGTTCGAACCTGCAACAAGTTCAAAGTCGTGCTACTGTGTCGGGTTTCTGCTCTGTACGATTTTGCTGTGTACGCAATTTTGCTGTTCTGCATTTCCTCGTGTCTGAAGGAGAATTTTGCTTAGCATCTGTTTATTCTTCTTCGTTGTGTTATTTATGGCTACTGTCTTGCCTATAAAGAGCTGTTATTTATCTCAATAAAATTTCAAGTCTTCCTGTTCATTTGGCTTTCTATTTAAGGAGATTTGTGAGAACTCGTGGTAAGCAATAATAAGCAGCATAAATTTGTCACTTCTGCTGAAGTAAGAAATATATGGCTTTAGAAGTACTTTTTATTAATTAAAGTATTATTTAGCATGTTCATAAAAGTTTCATTTGAATATAACACGAATTAACCGCATCTTCAGTTATGTTAATTATAAGTCCGAGAAAATAAAATACAGTTTTATATTAGGAAAGGGGCATGTATCTATGTGCTTGTTAGGTATTCATTCAGTTTGATAGACAATTAATTACTGATTAAACCTCAAGGTAAAGATGCCTTATTTTACCAAACAGAAACATTCTGAAAACTCCCTATTTTTGAGACTGTGACGAAGAAAAATTCTTACATTTTCTCCCGCACTAATATCTGCCAAGTCGCGTTGTATGATATTGTCGTAACTGTCCAAAAATTTGTTAAACTCAGCTCAAGTCATTTTTAAAGTAAAATACCTAGTAATCTGTACAGAGGTAAATGATACATATATTTGATTTTTAAAATGTAAGTTACTATAAGTAACATAAAATTTTTAACTTATAGAAAGTGTGGTAAACAGTCAGTTTGCAGGGTGTTTTTCAATGCGATATGCAATAAGACAGTGGTCTTGAACTTGTCACACCGTAAAAGAAAGCACTTAATATAATTATATTTATTTTAGAAATACTTTGCAATGGGAAGATGAGATAGAAAGAAATACTTTGCAATGGAAAGATTAAAATTCCAGTTAATTTTGAAATACAGTAGATGTTTAAATCATCAGTAACCCTATTATTGACCTTCTGCAACAACCATACATATTACACGGCTTAGCAGGGAGTCGAACAGACTTTAGTTTGGCATTTTGGGATACTGCAGTCAAGGAAGCTTTGATTCTGTGCCAGAATTCATCTGTGAAATTAGTTGGCATGTGATTTCCTACTGATCTCTGTGAAGCCTTCACCAGTCGTTTTCAAATGGTAAGATATCTGGAGAACGCGCCAGCCGAGACAGGAGTTGAAAAACCGATCTACTGGAAGAAACGTACGACAGCGTGGGCAACATATGATCTACTACGAGAACCTCGAAGCTATGGCACAGGCATGATCATTAATATTACAAGCAAAGTTTAAAGTATCAGATTAGAAGTGAAAATAGATTGAAGTGAAAAAGTTTAAAGTATCAGATTAGAAGTGATTAGAAGTCAAGGAAGCTTTGATTCTGCGCCAGAATTCATCTGTGAAATTAGTTGGCATGTGATTTCCTACTGATCTCTGTGAAGCCTTCACCAGTCGTTTTCAAATGGTAAGATATCTGGAGAACGCGCCAGCCGAGACAGGAGTTGAAAAACCGATCTGCTGGAAGAAACGTACGACAGCGTGGGCAACATATGATCTACTACTGTCTTGCTCAAAAACGTGCGACGAGAACCTCGAAGCTATGGCACAGGCATGATCATTAATATTACAAGCAAAGTTTAAAGTATCAGATTAGAAGTGAACGGGATGTTTGCTCAATGGACACTCGATAGTCATTCCAAGTACTCGGCTAGTATGATCAATTTAATTCCTAATATCTCCATAATAATTTTAAGGAAAGGATTCCTCTCAGTTTAACTAATTGTAGTTTAATGAATATTCTTCTGTTTGAATTCCTTTTTCTAAGTTTTTAAAACCATTCAGCCTTACCCAACTCCTACTGAAACTGTCCTCATTGAATTTTCAACTTTATTTGGAGAAATTTCATAGTTAAAAGTAGAATTCAACGGTGATTTCATGAATACCATGTGTATTCCTGTTTACTTTTCATTGCCAGATAAAATTGGATATCGCTTTGAAACTCCATACGAAATTTAAAACACAATTCAGCAATATTCGTGTTTCTGAAGCTTGGTTTTATTTTTTGTATCTTGCAGAGCCGTCTCGGTGTATGTTCCATCAACAGCGAGGGCGGACTCTCGTGCAACGAGGTCACGTGCACGTCCAGGGATCGGTCAGCACGCGGGAAGATTGTGAAACGGCCTGCGTACACCACACTGACTTTACTTGCCGGTCCTTCGAATTCGATCCGAGTTCGAAACTGTGCCTGCTGAGTCCCGATGATTCGCATTCTATTTCTGAAGAATCGAGTACGCCCTCCAGTACTCAAGGACGTTATTTCTTTGAGAGGGGTTCATGCATAGAGGGTAAGAAGTTTTAAATTATTTGATCTGCTTTCCTGTCCATGCTTTTAACAAAGAATATCGTCTTTCTTCTCTTACATTTTTCGTGCTCTTACTGTTTGTCCTTCTCAATCTTCTTTTGTTCAGGAAATGAAATATTTAAAACTTTATATTCTTACGTTTGTTTGTATATTTAATGTTTGTTCTTTACAATTTTCTGTCTCTCAAAACTCAGTTATTTAAAGCTGTTGCTATACAGGTTCTGTCGTTCTTGATAGAAATAGATTGAAAGTATGAAACAACCAAGGACTGTTAATATTTTAGAAAGTAAGGAATTGGAAATAGAAATATTAACTGAATTTGGCAGATTCTAATGAATGTGGAGAAGCTCGAAATGAAATTTTATTCGAGACAGAGAAAAATTATAGGTATTTGTAATGAAACTAAAACTAAATGAAAGGTCTAGAGACCAACAACGAATATCAAAAAAAGATTTATTAATTTGTCATTTTCTCGCATAAAATTCATGTTCTTTATTGCATAGATTTAGGGATCCTTGGTTTCGAAAATGTGTCTTAAAGAAAAGAATGTTGTCCAGTTTTGAAGTTCATTTCTATTAATCTATACAATATATTAACAAAATGTATCGCAATATACGCAATAATGCTTATTACTTGTAGCAATAATAGCAAATTACTTGTAGCAAAATTTATAGAGACTAGTATATATTTTCGAAGTAGGAAAATCAATTGTGCTGTCGCCGAAATTGTACAACCGAACCTTCTGTAGCTACATGTACATGGTTAAGAAGTACGACTTGTGCTTGTCTGTGATAATTCCTTACATACTGTACAAATATACAGTTTAGTGTCGGTTCCAAAAATAATAACATTGGACATTATTAATAAATAGTACGAAATGCGAGAATTTGGAAATGGGAGTTAAGTTGAGAAAGGTTCAAGACATTTTTTAGAGATCATTGAACAGAAATAAACTGGGCAGATGAGTTAAAAACTGAGTTTAAACCCTTAAAAGGGATTTAGAAACGAAGCAGTTCAAGGAAGCAGCTTTTGAAGAAGGATCTGTGTCTGAACGCTGTCGAAATCAATATTGTTTTATTTGAAATCCGTTGTTCTTTTTTTTCCGTCTAACTTTTAAAATTTCATTTTGCCGTGTTTCTCTTTCACTTTGAAGGTGTAAGTACTTTTAAAATGTGACATGGTAGTGCCAAATTATATATCCGAGTTTCCTTGACCAATAAAAATGTCCTTTTCATTCTTAATAAAATATGACATCTTTATTTTCTTATGTTCTTTTTATTTTTGATGCTTATTATTGGCAATTTTCTTTTGCTCTAGAGCTCAATTATTTGAAAACTATTGCTGTTAATTGAGGTCTTCTTCCTTCTGTGATTGATAAAACTCTTAAAAAATCGTGTTCTGGCGCAAAGATATAATTTCTTTGCATCTTCTCGGTTGTTGCATTTCGTCTATCTGTCTTTCATGAACTGCGTTGACATGATAATTAATAGGTAAGCTAAATCCTGAAAACAATCTGCTGAACAGGATACTGCTTCCGAAATATGTTTTTCATTCGAAGGCATATTCAATCAGCCGAGATGTTCAATTAGCCAGCCAGAAATATTCACTCCTCTAAAGACATACATATATATTAGTAGCTTATTTTCCAGAAATTTATAATTGTAATTTCAAATGTATTAGCTTCATAAATTGTAAAAAGCCATTAACGAACTTACAGAAAAATATTGCATAGAGAGGCTTCAAACATATGACGTTAGAAATATGTTTCTCAGTTCTAATAATGCTGTTAAATACTGAAAAATGCTAATTATGTGTATTATAAAGTTAATGCATTTTAAATTTAATCAGTTGAGTATTTGAAAAATATAAATTATTAAGATCTGCGTTTATTGCTGATAAGTCTCTCAGTTTATTAAGCACTATAGCAGTAATTTGAAGCTTAAAGGCACTGTGTCGTTCCGGATAGCATAAATCTCATAGCTGTTTGTTTGCGATGCCACGTGACAAGTAAATGCATGATATGGTAATATAACGTAACAGTCCGAAAGTTTCTGTAAAGACTCCGTTAAAGATGCTTCTACTCTACCCCATAAAATATTGTAGTTAAGTGAACGCAAACGACTATTCTGTGCCAAAGTATATAATATATAGGACTAAATATTTTTTTAATAATTAGAGTAATAGCTCAAATCAAATTAATTATCATTAAAAATAAGACGAATATATAAATTATTAAGGACTATATATATTGTTTTGAATTCGCGTAGTTTTTTATGAAAATACTCTTTTCATTTGAATGATAAACTTTAGATATGCGCGCAAACAGCAGTATGAACTGGCGTATCAAGAGAAAAGGAGATTTTACAGCAGATCACAGACAATTTTGTAAGTAAACTTATAGCTTGGTTTTTAAGAAATTTTCTAGGGACCGCAAAATTGCTTTTCCATCTGGGTCTCGAAATGGCTGCCACGGAATCAATAGACATCTTACGTTAAATAAAATTGCCCTAGAAAAAAGATAATGAGTGCATATAACGTGAATTTTTTTTTAAATTTTTCTATTTGTTGTTTTTCCCCAGAATTCGCACACAGTTTTTTCTTCTTTTTCCCTGCTCTTTTGTATTTTTTAACGTAAATATTGAAAAAAAATGCGTTTCTTTGGTAAGTCAACCGTGAAATCCAGAGGACTTGAAGATTGTGTGCATAGATGATTAAAAAAGGAAGGAAAAGTAAATGAGAAGTATTTAGCTGGCATGCAGATGGTGTGAAAAATAAAAATTAAAAACTTTGGGGAAGAAATTAATGAAATGGTTAATTCTTCATAATTAACTTTTTTTTGTTTTTGTTTTTGTTTTTTTTGTTTATGTTTTCCCCGGTGGCAGGTTTGTTCTCAATCGAGCGAAGAATGAACGAAAGACTTAATTTGTCGAATAAAAAGTAGTTTTCTGGAATGAAAAGAAAAAAGTGGCAAAATAAAGATTTGCTCTTCTTATTGATCATTCCATCTATTAGAAGAGATTTTAAACATACGAGAAAATTCCTTCTCTCTTTTTCTGATTTAAGATAAATTTAATGTTTCACAATTAAAGATAGTTCCATATGCATATTTCCATTATTCATATAATTAAATGAATAACATTTTGTATTAGTGATAGCTGCACATAGTTATTTTCCATGCATGCATTAGAAATTAATACGCCAGAAATAATTACGTGATTATTAATAATTCAAGTATATTTTTTGGACATTTGTCTGTTGTCTTGCTCTTTTGTGATACAGATATAAAGACTGAACCATGGAAACAAAAGAGCTTCAAGTATTCGATTTCGTAATCTGCCATAACCAACTAAACCAAACCAAACCTGCTTTAATGAATATCTAAATTACACGCAGAGCACCTACAGAGCACGGAGTAAGGAAGAAGAAAAGTCCTTATAAACTTTTAAGTAAAAATTCCATGGGTAGATCGCAAAATCAGATAATTCTTATTAAAATCACGGTGTGATAATTATTCTAAAATTTCACTTAACAGTTAGGTTTTGATTTAAACCATGTCTTATCCTTTTTGCCTCTTGTTACTGTTTTTGCTCGTAAAAGAAGGTCTTCCAACCTTGAGCTCTCACTTTTATAGTAAAACAAAGTTAGCTGCTGATATTTTGCAGGTAAACAGGAAAAAATATAAAAAACAGTATTTGATCGCCAATAACGAGCTTTCTGATAAAATGACTCGCATTCAAGTTTCATATGAGGAAAACTGGAAAAGAAGACTCGCATTCAAGTTACATATGGGGAAACTGGCTCGCATTCAAGTTACATAAGGGAAAAACTGGACAGAGGTGTCTGTGTCGCTCTTTCAGATAGTCGTCATGCTATAATAGAGTTCTAGATACACAGTATTATATTCAAATAAAACTTAAGAATACTCTTTACTTCAGCTTAGTATTCAAATAATTCCAAATTACCCCTAGATAACGACATTGAGAACGTTATTAAAAATATGAGACTTGTTTATTTAGCTACTGTTTCTTTCGGAAATATTAAAAATGTACTCTCATTGTCCAAATTAAGACCCCATCAAACACATTTGAGAAGTAATGAACTATAAAATTCAGGAACAAGCTACTTCTTCCAAATAACAACTCTATTTAGAAATTCAGGGTGATTAGAGAAAATCGTCTGGAAATGATAAAAATCTAGTTGAATCTAAGCCTGAAATATTGAACCATATTTTTGAAAATTAATAATAATCTAATAAAATATGGAAGTAATTTTACGAAATAGGATTCCTTAAATTTTATTTAACAGAATGATAAATATCTGACAGATTTGAGATGTAATGTTCACACTTAAAAGAAAAGAGATAAATTTAAGTTAAGTATTTTTTTCTGAGGAAAATATTTAGGTAACAAACAGAGGATTACGTAAATGTACGCTTCAAATAAAACAATATTCTATACTAAAATTTTCCATTTTATTTGCAAGCACCTAAAGTGTTGGATTACTTTTGTGAGACAGGAAATTATTTTTAGCGTAATTTATTATTGTTTTTACGCAACGTGCTTCATAAATAGATATTGGAGTCATTAGCACACTGAAGGTGTCACGAAAGTGGCAATCATGAGAGTCCTCGTTTTCTAGGAGGGCTCTCATTCTTTTTTTAATTTTTAAAAATAGTAAAAATACGTTGTGTCTTGAGATAAGGGGCCCGCAAAATTCACTGGAGGTGGGTATCTTTCCTTTTAAGTAGGAACTACATACAAATCCGATCTAAGTACGTTCTCAGAAGCGTATCTTGTTCGTATTCGGCTGTAGAGGTTTAATCAATAATTACATAGCGGGTTAAGAGAACTGCCTTTTCCTTACATTATTAGAATCGTCTGAGACACACTGAAGTCTTACTCCTTCATTCTCTCTCGGGGTCGCTAATGGCGTAATTCCTCCTTTGCCAGATCCGAGAGTGTAATCGGATTTAGCAACGGCACA